ACATTCGACTTAAGGACAGACCTTGGGAACGGAACTTGGTCTTAAACTGGGGACTACCTATACACACATTTTTGAATGCAGGCCAGCAATATCTAATTTAACTGGTGCCCTTAGATGTGTTGGGCCAAAGGTTATGCTTACTGGGAATTGTAGTTGTAGTAGATCCCAGATTGGAGAAGACCAGTGAAGACACTTAACCAGTCAAAATCATCTATTAAAAAAGGATGCAGGAGGGCCATCCTAACAGGATATTTTAATTCCTGTCTCCCCCAAAAGAGGAAGCATTTCAGGACAATGTTTGTATGTCCCATGTCCATGTTACTTTAAAAGCACAGAATTGTGCTTTACCTTTAGAGAAATTTAACAGACTGATTTAAACATTTAAATCTATATGCCTAGATTTAACTGAATTTAATGGAACTTGCCTTATGAGTCAGCTTCTTATTAAATAAAATACACTGTTAACCAACCAGTGAATAACTTTTTGCAACATCCCTGAACGATGGATACTTAGAATGGAAGACTTTTTAATGGATCCATTTGTCTGTGAGCAAAAAGGAAAGGAAAGGCATGGCAGGTTGGTAAAAGCTACTTAAATATTTACAAATGTATACATAATATAGAAGTATTAGTTGGTGTTAGTCATAAAACAGGGCTTTTAAAAAACAAGTTCTTTCTCCAGTATCTGCATGCTTATTTTTAATTTTGAAGGTGAGGACTACATTGAAATATAAGAATAGGGTAAAATAAGACAGGAAGCCTGGTTGGCCCCCCAAAATGTTTATGGATACATTTATGCACTGGGTGTACATCAGGAATTCAAGCTCTACGGTATAAAATATGTTTGGACGATTTGCACTAACCCTCTGGAACCTTTACAGCACATTTTGGATCTTGAGTTCCTTAGTAGTAGCCAAGATTTCCTAATTAGACTCTTTCTAAATTAAACTCTTAGAAGTCTTGAGCTGTAGTAACTCAGGTGTCAATTTGCACTTATACCTGGAGATCATCCTGGTGCATGGCCCATGAAGTGCCATGCCCACTGGCTCTTGAGTCAGACTTTTGCATTTAACCGTATCCATCTCTCTTGGAGCCACCAAGGAGATCATTGTCATTTAGCGGAGCATTCCTCAAAATGAGATCTGAATTAATAAGAACAGATGCTTGCCCGGGCATGGTTGTCAACCAGTGTTGAGCCTCTCATCTGCCTGACTCCCTTTTCTTTTCTCACGCTGTTAAAAAGAGAGCTCCTTTCATCAGAAGGAGTGGAGGAACCACTGCCAATCTGCTGGCGGTTAAACAAAACAACTGGATTGGTGCACCTGGATTCTTGCTAAGATTATTAAGTCTAACGCACAGTAAATGAAGCCACTGAGATTGTGCATCTAGAAACAACAGTGCCTTCTTTGCAGAGTAATGCAAAGAGAAAGGAAGGAAAGGCGAACTGGTAACTGAATTGCAAATTCCGCTATCCGTTTTCCACTTTATTCCTGAAGAACGACTGTAGGTTCAGAGGCAGAAAATAATATTATCACAATATAGCAGGGCGGAAAAATACTCAGGACCAACAAGGGCTTCTTTGGAAGCATCCGTATGGTTGGCGAGATCTTTATCTTGCTTCTCTATCAGAAATGGCACCCAAGACATTCATAACAGATTATTTAGAAAGAGCACAGACCATCCTCAAAGGAAGACAGCAGTTATTATAAACAAATGCCCTTAAAGATGGGACTGGTACAAATTCATTGGCACTGAAATAAATATTTAGATTCCTGATAAACAGAACCAGAGTGGACATGAACCTTTGCTAAATATAGCAAAGTGTCTTATAGCAGATCAGACTCATTTATTTATTGTATTTGCAAGATTTATATCTTCCCTTTCACTCAAGTGACATTTGGAACAGGCCTTCTTCCTATTTTCCTAAAACAACCACATCGGGTGGGTTGGGGGCAGAGAGAGACTGGCTCAAAGTCACCCAGAAATTTCTGTAGCTAAGAATGACCTGAACCTGGACCTTCCTGGAGACAGTCCAACACCTTAACCACTATACCACGTTGGCAGCATCTTGGACAGTAAATAAAAGTGCCAAGGGGCCAGAAAGCCTAACTCTAACCCCTGATTTTATTGTGATCTATGTGCTTGACCGTATCTGGTAGAGAACCCATAGAGATGCTCTCAAAATTCAGGTGTTCTTTTTTTTTTTTAATAGTAATTTTATTTAAAAATTAGAAATATAACAAAATTAATACAAACTAAAAAAAAGAAAAGAAAAAATAGAAGGTGCAGAAAAGAAAAAAATAGAAAAATAGAAAAGAAAGAAAAAA